AAATAATTGAAGATCACCCTTTTAGAGCAGGAGTGGACTTTCAGAACCAATTAATCCTCTTCATATCTGAATTGAATTTCAACCATCAAGTTCGATGAAACTGGCTAACAATAGGTAAAAACAAACTGCACATGTGAAAGATTTGATGAAGAAAGAAAAACACATACTTGGTAGTTTTATGGGAAAAACACACTTTGTTTCTATTCCATGAAATAAACACTTCCTACACTCAGCAATATCCAAGCTGCTGAGACATCAAGATGAGCACATGATTTGGCTCTAACACCTTCCACATTCTGCAGCTCAGGCAAACCCTATAGCCTAGTAGGAGAGACAGATACATCACAATGATTCTAATAAACATGATATACAAGCAATGTTTTTCCCCCATTCTTTCCAGTTTATGCTACTTGGTAGATGCTGATTTTTCACTCCTCAGGGCATTGACCTGATCACATGGTATTTCTAACGATGATGAGTCCTCAAGCAAACCCAAGGTAATGACTAACGGAACATGGGAAGATAACTCAACAGTTCCTATTAAGTATTTAAAAGTAAGAGAAGAAGAGACAGAGAAAAACAGACAGAAACAGAACAAGAGAAGATAAAGTGAATGCCAGGATGCAAGCAACTTCCAGGATCCCTGCAAGTGAGAGCCTAGCGCTCCGGCTCTGCTTTCCCTCTCTGTCTTTCATTATCAAGTAACCGTGGACAGAAGGCATTAGTCCGGGAAAAGGGCTTCCAAGCAAAAAAGGGAAGAAGAAAAGTCTAACGAGTGAATCTGACCAAGACACTTCTCCTACATATTCACAGATAAAGACTATTTGAAAAATTCAAAACTAATTATGATTCCATAATGTTTGAAAAAAAAAAGTGATTCCAACATTACACACATGCTAACTAAACACTTGTAAAGGAAAAACTAATGAAAGAAAAAAGTAACTTGTTAAATTTGTTCAATATTTCCAGTTTCAGAATAACAGAATACCTGATTAAGGGGAAAATTAAGCATAAATTGTTATTTTAATGTTTATAACAGCCTGTCAGTTATAGGTATATTAAATCTGTAACACAATAGTTACAGCTTTCTATTATACACATGCACTGTTTATGTACAAGAATAAACGTATATACTATAATATTATGTAGCTGTTTTACATTATACTCATTTTATAAAACTTTATAAAGAATAACTTAAATTTCAATTATTATAGAGATTAAAAGTTTTTGTGTTTAATAGTTCATTTAAAGTGTGTTTTAGGGGCCGGGGAGATGGCTCAGCGGAATAAGCGCTTTCCTGGCAAGCACAAGGGCCTGAGTTCAATCCCCGGTTTGGGGTGGGGGGAGAAGAGTGTGTTTTGGCTGCAAAATTTTCCTGAAAAAGCAATTCTGTATTACAATATATCCACAAAAATACACTAACCAAAACAGAATTATTTAGAAAAGCAGTATGTTTAAAAACAAAAAAGTACCAACAGTCTGAATGTACCAAAATGACCTATTAAAGCAAAAATTCTTCTTCAAGCATATGCATATAAAGTTTTGTTTCTTTACAAGGGCAAAAAATAGTAACACTGAAGCTAACAAATTGTCAAACAGCCACTAATTGAATGGCATTTTAAAGATAATTCAATTAATTGTCTCTAATAAAAGGAAAAAGTAACTTGTCAAATTTGTTCAATATTTTCAGTTTCACAATAACTGAGAATATCCGACTTAGGGGGAAAAATAAGCATAAATTGTCATTTTAATTTTCATAACAGCTAGCTGAAAACTCAGAGGGAAGAGAGTAAGAAAATTCTAAGACAAGATGCAAATACCTTGGACAAAAGGATGACTGACTCAAGTACAGGAAAAAAGATACAATTTATTTTCTATTTTTGCATTTATTAAATAATACTTAAAGATGAAGGAACTTTTTATAGTTTTCAAGTAACCAGTTAAATGCACTTACAGATGATTTAGAGTTTATTGTTTTGATATCAGGAATTGGAACCTTGTGCTTGCCTGGCAGGTGCTGAGCTATATATATCCCCAGCCCCAGATGATTTAGTTTTAGCTAAACTACAATGGACTAGAAGCTTAAAAAAAAAAAAAAAAATCACTACAAAATACAACAGAGATTGAACATATCATTACTGATGTGTGGGTACATATTTGTAAGTGTGATATTAGGACTAACATGATATTAGGACCAACATTCAGTAGATACCAACTATGGACACAAGGTATTCAAGGGCAAAGAAAAATACAAGGTAAAGTCCTATTACTTACCTAAAATAAAATCTAATTACTGGTACTGTTGTGTATGACCCAAGAGCAGTTAGCTGTCACATCTAAAAACTGTGTTTTCAGGAGGCTAGAAAACTGAACACTGAGGACGCCTCTGAGCTATTGCATTTGGGGTACAAATCAGGATGTGCCAAACAGGTGCAATATACAACAATTTTGAATGTGTAAGTAAGGTAAGGATCATGTTCTTGGTAACTCTGACTTTTTGCTACTGGTCAGCAAGGTGACAACACAATTCATTCTGCACTTAATCTCATCTCCTCTTGTACTAATCAAGAGGCCTTGGTAGCAACTGCTTTCCAGTCCCTGGAAGGTTAGGCAGGAACAATTCTGCCAACTGCATTATAAATATTTAGCACATCAAACACCTAGGGCAGTTCTTCTCACACTAAACCATACGAGGTAAGTTTTACCTTTGAATAACAAAACAACTAACCAGTTTAATAGACTTTCTCCTGATTCCAAATTAAGACATGTCCCACTGATCTCTGTTGAGAAATCAGTTTGACATAGTCTAGAATGTCTGATGAATTCATTCACTTTGGGATAATTTAGATGTTTCATGAATTGATACCATGAGGACAACTAATCAAGTTATCATAGTCAGAAAACTAAGGCAAGTCTCTTTGAATAAAAGAACTTAAATTAATCAAAGCAAGTCTGGTATCCCTGAAATATATCTACATGGAGTCAAACTGGGCCATCACTTACTGAAACCATCATACATAAAACTTTTTTAAGTGCAGACTGCTCAAAAGCAGAATATATACTTAAAATCTAATTGACTTATTTTAACTCAAGTGAAATATTTAATCTTTTAAGACTAATTTTAAAAAAAGACTAATTCAAATGTGTAACGAATTTAGAAGTGAACACATAACAGGAGCCATTGTAATAACTGTGTCACAAATATTTTTTCTTTAAAAATGTAACTCTGTTCTCTATCATATTAATTTTGATCACATACACTGTTATCATTTCTTTTTGCCAAATGAAGCAGAAACATACAAAGGACATTAATCCTAAATATTAGGCCTCTACATTGCAGTGATTAAAAATAATTATTTCTCCACAAATCCTATGAGAAAATATCTGCTTCATACAGCTACTTGTACTTTTTAATGAAACATGATACCAAGCTTAAGCAAAGTGGAGAAAATAATGTTCAATTAATTAAATACATTCATCTCTTTGTAAAGAAATAAAATATTAACTTCTGTTTCATTAGCCATAATGTTCCCTACATGGACAACTTTAAACAGGCATTTTTTCAGAAGGTTTGAGTTAAATCACAAAGGGACATATAACTAACATCCAGGCCCCAGCAACACATGAGGGAAATGTGAAGCTGGGGTATGCACCACAAAGTACCTTGAGTTTTCTTTTTCTTTTTCTTTTTCTTTTTCTTTTTCTTTTTCTTTTTCGCAGTACCACTGATTGAACTCAGGACCTTGCACTTGCCAGGCAAGCACTTATGCTACTGAGCTATCTCCCCAGCCCACCTTGCTATTTTCTTAATTTTTGTCACACTTTATTAGTCTGATAATTTTACTTTCGTCACTGTGATATTAAACAAAAGTAGATGCTTTTGGGGGAAAAAAATTAACTATATACAGAATAACTCTTCTGTTTAAACAAAATGGTATTTAGGATTGCTTTGGCTGAAGTGGAACACACTGCCTACATATCTGCTGCAAAACGCAACAAGCAAAATCAGGTGTCACTAAAGGACATATACATCTATATCATGCCAATACCGACATAATAGCAACGACTATGATAACTGCTATAAAATTAGTTTACCGTATAACTGAAGACCTTGAATAGCTGAGCTAAGACATTCTATCACTCCTAATTTCATGACATAGTTGAGGAAAAACTAAATGTAATCTAATATGTAATACAATTGTGGTACATCATTACAGAGCACTACAGCTTTTTTGAAACAAATCAAACACATTATCTTTCATGATACAATAGCCTATATGCTTAGAAGAAATGAAGTTTTCTATTTTTGGCATAAGCAGGTTGAAGGTACGGAGTTTCAATGAGGTAAGAGAGCCCTTCTTTGTTGTTGAAAAATAGGTATTTCAAACAAAATTAGTCACCCCTGTTTTAACCCCAATAAACACACAAAACAGAAATGGCTCTTTAGATTTTCCTTCATTTGTCCCTGCAGTAAAATCTGCCAACACTGCTCCCAGACAGCCTCCCAATATTCAAACAAAGTAAAAGTAAATATGCTTTGTATACCACTGACAATACAAACTATGACTTCTAACTAATCTCAAACAATCGCATTGTTACATGTTAAGATTTAAGTAAAATGTTTTACATAAGAGCAGAAATTCAAGCACAGTGACTTCATTTCAGGATGCAACCAACCCATATGGGTAAACTATGCTGGACTGCACAGATTAAACCTCTTGATTGGTGCAAGTGCTACTGGATACTAGTGACAAGTTAGAAATGCAAATATACAAACCCAATACAATGGCTTGATAGTTTACATAGTTTTCCATCTCCTCTGGAGCTCTAAGCAGAGCCCATTTATTTATTTTAATGTTAGTTGTAAGTATTCTTTATTAGTTTTAAAAATTTTACTTGT